AGGCTTGGGGATAACATTTGCTGCAGCAAGATGAGCAGCTGGTCGAGATTCAGAGGCTAAACCAACTGTTTCCTGTCACATTTAGCAGCCCAGCACATTTAGATTCTTAATATGAGGAAAAAGGTGAAAATTTTTATAGCTTGCATCATGGTGCAGGCTGGTTTAAAACTCGTAGTCTATGTATGGTGCAAAATTTACTCCTTAGCTTCTTCAGAAATAGCAAGATAAGACTTTACACTGAAAATATATACTTTCCATATTTGAATAAAATGTTATAATAAGAAAAAGGCTTTCAGTCTCACTGTTTATAAACCTTAATTAAACTTGGCATGTCCATAAAATTTTCTGTTTTCCTAGGGAATGGAGGGGAGCCTTACAGTTTATCATGAAATGTGGCTGATAGAAATGATAAATATAATGTAAAGATCTATCTGCCTGGAACTGATTTCTAAAACATTGCTCTTATTTCCTTCCTTATGGATTCTATTTTTATTGCATTACCTATGGCTTTACAGAACTAGCCTAAGCTGGGACAACAGTGTATTTAGCAACCAATATTCAACTTTAGCACAAATAAAATCTCTATAATTTGCTTTTAAATGTGGTAAAGTTAAGACAATTTACTAAAGTAAAACTATGGCTCCATACACCCTAAAATCCGTCTTAAAACCATATATAATAATTTCTGTTGTATGAGTAGAGCGTATAATTTACACACAAGTTGGTTTTAATTATCACAGTTCATAAAGGCCCTTATACCTTAAGGTCTGTCAAAGTGACCAGAAGTTTGTGTGTTTTGAGCTTTTTTTTTTTTTTTTTAATACACAGGTATATTTTTATATGTATGTATAAGTGAAAGGATCCCCCGTTTTGGCCTCCTAGAAAGGAGAGCCCCCGCGCTCCCTGCCAACACCATAAATGCTGCCATTAAAATATTTGTTTTAATTCTGACCTCGGAGTCACAGCTAATAAACAAGAAAGGCAATGAGAAATTGAAGAACAAACTCAATGCAGCTGTCGGAGCGGCCGTTTCACAACCGTGTTTAACGGCATCCTTTAATTTCACGTCTCTGAAGAGACGCCATGCGCCGCGGCGCACACGCCAGCCCGGCCGCACGCTCCGGGCCCTTTGCGCTGCCGGTCTCTCATGGACATTTTTCCCTGTTTTTTAGCTCCTCCTTGGAGGTGTGCGCTGCAAACAAGGGCACAAAACTATCTGCTGGGACACCCACTGCCAGGACACAGCATCTGTGCTGTTCTTCCATAATTGCTCTGTCTTTCTCACAAACAGCAACAAATTATTTTCATAGGTACAAATTCAGGTATTTGTTTCTGTCAAAGCAGAGACCAGTTTAACATATCCTGTAACTAAATAATTAATGTTTTAGAAACACGTTATAAAATGCTATGAAAAAACTCTGCGGAATGAATCATTGAGCTTATGCTATTCTGTAGACGTCCCCAAACTTACCGCATTACCTCTAAGAACAAGAGTATTACTTTATAAACACATCTTTCTACACTCAATAAAAATAACTTGCAAAAATTCATAGAATTATTCACATGAATTAAGCACAGCACCAGGAAGCTGAACATATTGGAAAAAAATCCATTTAGAAATGTTAGGCAGAGGCCATGTAAAATCTTTTAAGAGCCCACTTTGTAAAAATTGTAGCTATAAAAGAGGAATCAGATTATTAAAAAAACAGTGGAATAAGAAAAATAGTACTTTCTATTTATTTTGGAATACATTCCTTGTATTTGAAGAAAAATAATACTGAATTATATTTTACAAAATGATAATACACAGAACCCTGCTGTTTTTTTTTCCCAATATGTAGCAAATACCTCCTTTTCAAATAAGTGAAAGGATGAGAAATACCATCTCACAACCCTCTAAAAGTAAAGATATTGTTTCCTTTTTTCATTAACAGCCTTAATTCCCCAGTACCATTCTCAGTTCCGATTTGCATCGGGCACTTTACTAGGGACCTAGGGCTTAACCACATGAAAGCACGAGTAAAGCCGTGAACACATCCTGAGAGGAGCAGAAGAAAACTAAAAATTTTAAATAGCATGCAGAAATTTCCATAACAGGTCATTCCAGTGGTCAGCATAGCCCAGCATATTTATTACTAGTCGCTGTTGTTAAAGGCAATCATCTTGATGCCTATGATGGAAGATGGAACAAAGTGAATTAGTTTTAATGGACTATGGCTGACATCAGAATTGGTGAGGTTTTTTTCTCCTTTCTAAATTACAGTGTCTAATAATACAAGATAATGAAAAACGAGGATGTTTGTATGGTTCCTTCAGTCTCCAGTCTAGACACTCTCTAGTTTAGACTAATCTAGTTTATCATTGAACAACTGATTCTAATTGGTAACATTTAATCCTCTCCCTTCCCTCTCCCCATTTCCTCTTCCCATTTCAAACCCTGCATACACTTATAATTCCTGGCAGGCTATCATCAACACATTAAAACCTTGGAGGCTTTTTTTGTAAACATCTTAAATTAAATAACCCCCATGGTGTATTCCTTCCTTTTGCGACCTTCCAAAATTCAGTCTGGGGTACCTTCATCCAGAGTTTACATAATAAGCTCGTCTCGATTTACATTATGTCGCAGACAGGATTCTTCCATGACAGTCTTCTACAGTGACGACGACATTCTTTAAATGTGACTCTAACTATGGCATTTCTTGTATGTGTTTATATACCTGCATGCACATATGTGATTTAAAAGGTAGTTTAAAGTTTAACCCCTAAAGTTTAGTTTTGTGGGTTTTATTGTTAAAAAAAATCCTGTTATGGAAAGTTCTTGTGTAATAACATTATGTCGACAGAAGAAAAATTCTAATATCAAAAAAAGCCTTGTGGGTTTTATTGTTAAAAAAAATCCTGCAAGAAATATGATTCTTCTCTCAATCAGCTGGCAAAGGGCACTACAACGGAGAGACACTCAGCACTTGCCATTGCAAAGGCTGGGCTGACCTGCGGTGCCCAGCGTTGCCCCCTTCTCCCAAGCTGCACGAATTAGTTTTTGGCCATCATCATAACCAGGGCCCCCAGCTGCCTCCTCTTACTCACAAGTCCCCATGCACCAGGACACACCAGCTTCCAGAGCTGCGGTATCCAGGCTTGGCATTCCCACATAAGGACAAGGACCACCAGGACTTGCCCAAGGTGTTTGGGAGGGCAGGCACACTGAGCACTGCTGCCCAGCTGCCAGGCACAACTGCTTTTCTAAATGACCACCTAAGCAATCATAAGAGCCACTCATATTTTAATGGTGAAAATATTAAAACAAAAAGGAAATGTCTCAGAGTCCCTTCGCAACCCACGGAGGATACACATGCATATATAGATCAATTCAGTTGCATGAAAGAATGGCTATATTACTTTTCAATATTACTTATCTGATATATACTCTAAAATCAGATCTATTTCTTTTTAACATGCAGCATTTTTTCCCATCACACTTGGTAATGTTATATTATTGCTATAGGAACATTTATTTTAATCAAAACTAGATCTCCAAAATCAGAACACAAGTACTAAAGAAGAGGGATCTTACCTTCATCTAAGTCACAAAAGCAACTGCCGACAAATGTGGCATTACATAAACAAATTATTATTTTAACATTTTGACATTATACTGACATCAGTGAATCTTTTGTGTTCACCATTGAATTTTCTTCTGAAAGTCCTATAACAAAACAAAACATATGACCCCTTCTCCTATGAAAAGGAAGGGTATCTTACAGCAATATCCCTGGATTTATTACTGCTATTTTACTGCAATTGATTAACCTATCCCTAGCAAGATCTGTGTTCAGTATGAAAACACTGAGCAGAAACCCTGAAAATGCATCTTCCTGGCAATATGATACCTTTAAAATACTGCTTAAAGTAGCTGTGGTGGTCAATTACACAAGAAGTGTATATATCCCTCCTCCGCCTGGCCCTGACTTTCAGCTGGTTTTCAGTATTTCTGTTGAGTTTTAGTCGGGATAAGAGGGGGTTGCTTTTTTGCTGCTGCCTTTTTTTTTTCTCTCCAGACAATCCTTTAAGTTGCTGCAGATCTGAACACCTCTATAGCTCACATGTCCTCTGAAGACAAGACATGATAAAATTAAGCTATTTGCTACTGATTAAAATAGTTCAGTAAGACAGTGTTCACTGTTTGCCTTCATTCGCAAAGTAGTCAATTATGTTTCAGTAAAACACAGACACAGCATCAAATTTAAGCAGCTGTATTTTAGCTCATTAGCATTTCTCAACTCGGAGTATTATCCTTCTATCAAAGGACAAAGCAAAAATATTTATGCTCTTGAATTGGCATAGCTGATCCTCACTTAAATACAGAGCTGCACGAAAAATCCTCTGAACTATCAGCAGAAAATGGAGCCAGATGAGAGCACAGCTTTTTTTATGTCAAAAACTAACAGTGAAGATGCTTTGAACCGCACGCCACTATTAAAGAGTTCTGACACAACAGATGGGATGTCAGAATAAGACCAACTGGTCACTGAATGTGAAAACATAAATGACACACCGTTTCCCTCTTTCAAATATGACTTCGTCCCCAAACTCTGTATGGCATTTGCTACGTTTTCTAACTTTTTCATTTAGGCAAGAGGAAGCTGTTGATTCCTGGTCGTCACATTGACCACTGCTGCAACCAACCAGTATAAACGGATACGTTAACAGATACGACCATAGTGGTAGACAGACTATTCCGAACTATACCACAGCATAACAGCTGCTCAAGTTGGAGATTTCGAGGAAAGTTAAATTAACGGTGTATGACATTGAACATTCATCAAGACTGGTCAAAAGCTATAAAAATAATAGGCAGTTATTTGCATGAATTACAATGGTATTTGCAATTCCTCCAAAGGAACAATCTAGGGTTAATACCTGATTTATGTAAATACCTAAATATTGTCTTCATGTGGTTAACAACTAGCACATATTGAAACAGGAGAATAACTTACCGCTAGGGTTAAAAGCCATGCAGCAAATAGGCTTCTCATGTGCAGGGAAGTGGGCCACAATACCATCACTATCAGAATCCTCGCTAACAAGCACCTGTGTAAAATTAACGGAGACAAAAAGAAGGTTAAGGAATCAAAATTAACACAGTACCAATGAAAATAGCAAGTCACCAATACAGGACTTATATTATAGGACATATACAACAGCACGAATTAGAAATAACTGCACATGGACCAGGAAGAAACACTCAAGGAAAGCATTGGTTTTGCTTTCCAAATATGCAGGCACGTTACAGCTTGCCTCCACTGGATTTCCAAATGACAAAAGTGCTGGAGAATGGGAATGCGTTTGAAGGTAGGTACATTTAAAAATTACAGTGAAAAGCCTACCATTCTAATAAATTAGAAAAATGGCATCTGTGGTAAGCAAAAGCCATTTTCTTACAATGTGTGTGCAAAAGTTCTCACTTCAAGTTCAATAATAATTTGCTGTTTTTCAAAATAATCCAAAAGGTTTTTAATACTTCCTATTCCTAACAGATATCAGAATAATTGGAAGATATTTTTATGCTTCAAAAAGAGAAATCATCTTTAAATGTTTAAAGAAGTCACGTAATACGGATGAAGAGGCCTGTGCCTGCCTCACTTTGAATGTTCAAATTACTTGGCACTGTCACATAAGCACAATTATGGTTTTGCTTTCCGTTGTCAGCATTCCGTGCTGATTCCAGAACCGCTAACCAAAGGGTCTGGAGATCTTCCTAAGAGCTTTTCAAAGAAACAGGCTTCTTTTCTCAGCCTATATAAGTGACACTAAATAACTCCTATACATCATCTTTTCACAACTTCCACTTTTATCCAACTTAGCCTCCTAAGCATTTTGCTCTAATTAAAGATATATGCTGATTATAAAATAACATAATAAATTAGTTCCACACAAGAGTAGCTTTTAATCCAGTCTAGAAATGTGTAGGTATTGGCAGCATCTGAACCACTGTTAAAGCAAGTTACATGGCTTGTTTCATACACGTATTTTTCTACAGATGGTAAACTTGAATAACTCAGTAATTTTTGTTGTTGTTGCTGTTTTAAGCTAATAAGGGCACCGCTGCGACACAAAACCCCTGTTCAATAGAAGCACACTGGCTGGTAAGAGGACCTTTAAATATTTTTGCTATACACAAATTTTCCAATACATGAAAAAATGTAAAGCGTGTCAGATATATGAATCTGAGCATATGATAAAAGCCAAAACCTTAAATTTGTATGCTATGCTAGCAGCATCCACGCTTGAGGTTTTCCAATCATTGCTTCAAATCACCTTCCAGCATATACATCCTTTCTTAGCAATATTAAAAAAAGTTTTTGAAAATCTTCACTTTTTACTATAAAAACTACGGGGTTTTTTTAGGTTAAAATATAATCAGTCTGTCCTTTCTCAGCATTTATACCATTCCACTGTTTGTGGTACAAATGAAATAAAAGAACCCACTGGCGTAATGTCCATTTGAGAAACAAAGAAAAGCAACCGTGACCTTGCGGATCCTGGAAACCTCCCTCTGCCACCGAGGCCAACTCATGCAAAGCTTTCAGACCCAAACCACACATTACTGCCCTGTACGAGCCAGGCAGGAAGCAGAAACACACAGAGACACCTTTCTTGCTCAGAAACACAGGAATCCTTCGGTGGTGGTGAATGGGAACAAATAAAACAGTTTCTGATGGGCACCACATCCCTCCTTTCTTGACATACAAAGTCTCTTGCTCGCTTCGTATCTTGGCCACAAAGAGGAAATATTTGCTCATGAAACACACAGGGGGAAAACACACTGGCTTTTCAAATATAGGATACAACTAACTTTTTAAAAAATATATTTTTAAAAACAACGTTAAGTTTTTTCAGAATGGAGTAAATCCCTGACCTGCCTTTAAACCTCCGGACTGCGCTGCAGGACTTGCAGCACCGTTCCCCGCACGCGTGCCTGACAGGTCTTTTGCAGAGGTCAGTCTGCAATTTCAACGCTGTAACGCACAGCGGAATCAAGGGAATTACAGCAGCCGGCTTACCCGCACTGCCGCTTTATTCTGGAACGCATTATTTGCTCTAATAGAGACCTGCAGACAGTGGTAGCTGCGCTGATCCATCAGGGTTTACGCAATGTTACACAGCCCAGGGAGCATAAATTTCACGCAGGCAGAAAACCTGCTGAAGCTGCACAGCAGGGCAGCGCTGGAGCCCTCCTCCACAGGTAGCAGCAACACCCCGTGCAGATGCTGAAGGGGAAGCCGTGATCTGCAAAGGTGCTGGAGAGAACCACGTCCCTAGGGCAGCAAACAGCACATTAGATCAGCACTGACACTGTACAACTGGTTCCTTTATATCACTTATGGCTTTCTTACCCGTGAAAAGAGCTGGAAATTTTTCTTGGAAATAAGAACAGTGGTATGAACTGCCTAATGACACAAGTTAAGTGCTGTCAAAAGGTCCAAAGTAGCAGCTCGCTGAGCTTCCCCCGTGCAGAACAGACAAACCCACAGCAATTCTGAGGCTGCAGGTTTTTCATCCCAAAGGGATGTCAGTCACTCAAGTGGGAGCTTCTAACCAGTCTCTATTAAGAACTAAAAGACCTTATAAAGTCTTCATTGTGGAAAAAAAGGTGATTAAATCTCAGTATTCCTCTCAGAAGCGCCTAGCAGCCCAGGCTCACAGGGCAGCCTCCATATCTCCCCTTTGGAGTGGGCTATCATTGTGTGCATACGCACGTGCAGGTGGCTTTCAAAGACTGTCAAAACAACCAACAACAAAAATTAAACTAAAACCAAAACTCTTATACTAAGACAGGCATGAGAAAATAAATAAATAAATAAATAATAAACTAAAACCAAAACTCTTATACCAAGACAGGCATGAGAAAAAAATAAATAAATAAATAAAATCACCATTCGCCTAGTTCTGACCCCCAAACCGGCTCTTATAAGAGAGCTGCAAGGTGCTGGCCAGCAGCAGCGCAGGGCTCCGGTGCTCTGGCAAGGCAGGGGCAGCAGAGCCGAGCGGAGCGCTGCAAGATGAACACAAGACTCGTCGTGTTCCCAAAGAGAAACGGGCAAAACACCTGGGGATTGTTAGCTTTCCTGTCAGGAAAGGGAGGCTGCTTTGAGGGCTAGCCCAAGTTTTTTGTCTCCTATGCCGTATTTTTCTTCGGTCTTTGTATTTTCCATATTGCTGAAGAGAAGCCACTGGTAATTATGACTTCAATTATTTTAATCTCAAAAGGCAAATTACACCACTTATCCCAGTGGAGACATGTTTTTAAATAAAACATGAAAGTAACACAAATAAAAACGGACACAAATTTAATCAACTAGGGCTTATTCTTAATAAAATTAAGGAAGAATGACCCCATCATCATAAAAGAATAAGTTTGACAATATTTATAAATATGACTATCCCACAACACATACACTTGCAAAGATCCCTTTATTAAGGTCTCCGTTGATGTAAATGGCTGAAGTTAGTGCAGTGCCCAGTTCAGCTGCTGAGCTGCACGTTCAGAAAACAAACACCCCTCCAAACCAGCACCCCCAAACCCACCAATTAACCTCCCCCCAACTTATAGCTAAGGTCAAACATCAGTGGAAAGGGGCTAAAAGTGATAAATCTGCGACATGAACTACTGCACTCCATTTTATAGAACCCAGCATAAACTCAAAACAGTCTTGGGCTCAGCCCGAACCATTTATCTGAGACAAAAATGTCTTCTTGACAAAAAACAGAGCTCCTTTAATCAAAGTAAGGCAGACAGTATTATGCTCTGAGGGAATCCTGTTGCTCTTTTTATACTTTATATAAAGAAAATTCTTCTGTAATACACATAGATATAAAAATGAATAAAATTCATGCCAAATATGACCATTAGAATGTCAAATTAGCTTTTGTGCAAACTGTTCCTATAAGTAAAAGCAGCAGTGTTAATGACCAGGGGAATTATATATGCAGTTAAGCTTTTTATTATTGAATAGCCTTGATTCTTCTTGCTTCTTTATGTAGGATGAAGTTTCACAACAAGTCTTCTTCCTGATAAGCATCTTTATTCACTTCAATTGTTATCAACCCCTGACCAAACAAAAACAAACGTTTGAAACTGCATTCTGCATTTTTTCCCTGAAAATTCCTCTTTAATGCAATAAAAAGTTAATGGGGAACAGAAAAAAGCATCAATCACATTTTAAAACCTAAAATCAATATGTTATCTTATTTTTGTAAGTAATTTTAAAAATATTTCCTCAAATATTCTCATACGTTCTGGAGGATCTGTGAAAGCAGCACAACACATTATCAGTCACGCTGCTCTATCAAAAACATTACGAATCAAATTTTGTATTTTTAAATGACCGCATATTTCTCTGTCAACTAAACGTTAGATGTTGAACAGATTTACACTCAGTCCCAAACCTGGTGACTTTGGAGCACACTCATTACTGCCCACTGCACGTGGGTGGCCTAGCTGATGAATTAATTAAGAACACCGAAACAAAGGTCAAAAGAAAATAATTTTTCTTTAAAACTGAAGCCACTAAAGACTTACACATTTAATTACAATTACTGAAAAAGGGGACATCTGCAGAGCTTTAGTTTTGTCCATTTCGACCTATTAACAGATTCAAATAAATAGTCATTACATCTAACTGAAAGTTTGCTAACACTTCATTAGAAGGAAGTTTAAACAAACATATAACCTGGTGAGGATATTTTGGTTTACCACAAAGTTACTTGGGCATTTTGATAATTATTTTTACTCTCTTACAAATATATCCTGACAGTCATCTCCAATAAGGCTACGGCCCTATCCTTTGTTTTCTCCCATGACTGCATAATTTGAATTTTCTTAGAGTAGCAAAATTCCTGATAGTAGGAACTACCACAAACTGCTGGGTATGAGATTCCACTACAATATCTGCATTCATAAGATACTGTCCCCACAGGTTTAATCTCTATTTTTAATTGTATATTTCTCAATGGAAAACTAACACTATTCAAATTACGTCATGGTAGCACAGCATTGAGATCCTGACTTGCCATCCTTTTATTACCCTCTTTTTCTATTTTTTTGATGAGGTGTTCAGGTTACATGAGTGCATTTGGTGGAGGAAGGAGAGGGGAAGATAAGAAACGAATTATTTTTCTGTTTCTGAAATTCTGAATTTCCCCTCCAAGCTCACAATTAGCTTGACAGCCTTTGAAAGCCATATGCACACACTCATATATTTATATCTTTGCATGAGAGCGCAGCAAGGCTTCCAACCGGTAACTCAGCCCAGGGCCCCGCGTTCAGTGTCGCTACCTCTCGCACCCGGGCCGGGACGCTGGCGCTCGCAGCGGGCGCTGCCATCCCACAGCACGCACCAGCGGAAAGGAAATATGAAAAACCACAAACCTCCGTCACGGGAGGGAGTAGGAATGCCAGGATCTGCTGCTTGGTACACGCTCAGACCTCTTCTTTCCCTCCTGCATGTCAGAAAGCAGCACAAGAAGCTCTTAGTTTGGAAAACGCGCTGCCAAGGAAGAGCGCCCAGACGAGCGGGACACAGCGAGGGAAGGCACCGCGCACCTCCAGTGACGGCCGCTCTGCTCTGCAGGGACCAGGCAGCAAAGCGAGGAGCTCCCGTGCCACCAGCCACCCTGCCACGGAGGACTAAAAGCACCTCAGAAACCCAAACAAGACAGGGCCAACGCAGCCCAAGGGGCCCTGCAGGCTTCAAGGCAGTCAGATGCTTCAGTATCCGCTGAGGCACACGAGCGGCGCAGGGAGCCTTCGGCAGGGCTGGACAACGCGCGCGGTTCCCAGGTCACCCCTGCTCGGATCCTTCCCTCCCTCACGCCTCAGAGTCCCGGCCGGGGCCGTCCCGCTCGTCCGCCACATTCAAAATCTCTTTCATATTTTATAAATCAGCTTCCTCTTTGTTAGACCCACACTTCCATTTAAAAACACTGGCAAAATTGAAAAAAATAATGTTAATTCTTAAAACAAATCTTAGCATAGAAAATAAATGATTTATAGCATTTTAAAACTTGAGATGACAAAAATTTGAACACAAGCCATTCACATGACCGGGATATCCATCTTAGAGCCTCTTCCCGCAGGGAGTCAAGACAAAAAAATACTTCACTAGGAATGATGGCTTATTTATGTTACAACAGCATTATTTGGACAAGGCAAGCGTTATCATTTTTACAACTACTTTTCCATAGTGCCCTTTAGGCTTGATAGCTCCCTACTATTGCTAAGGTCAGAGGACAAGTTCATAAAACTCCTAAATCATACATAACAAGACTTAAAAACATAATTCCCCCCCCGGCCCAGGCCTATGCTGAAGAGTCAAAGCAGACAGTGACCATCAGAAATAATGACTGCATTAAAAAGAGCCTCATGAGAAATTTATGAACTTGAATTTTTCTTCTTATTTTTTTTGGCAGTATAAGAAAACAAAGGCTTTTTTTTCATGAAATACACTTATTTTAAGAACTATGTCTGTATGAACCTGAAGTAAAATATGTGTTAATTTTCATTCTCTTTTTCCTTTTTTCCCCCCTTTTGTCAGAAAGGCCCCTAATGTTACACAAACAGTCCTTTTTTGATGCTGTAGTGACATGGCTGAAGTATGTTCTGAAACTAGTTCTAATAAGCTACATTACAAATAGATTTTTTTTTAATAAGTAAAAATATCTTATTTTGCTCTTGGGTAAGGCAAAAATGCTGTCATTAGTCATTATCTGCAATAATGTATTCTAGAATCATGAACAGAAAAAGAAAAAATATTTTTCTTTTTTAAAATGCAAATTGTGAACACTAAGATAGTTTTCAAAATAGCTACAGATAGTGAAACTCACGAGTTTTGCATGACTATCGACTGCAGGCTTAGGTCCTTAAAAATGAACTTATTCATAGAAGCAAACGAGCCATGGGTATCTTCTCTAGTTGGTATGATTATTGTATGGATTTTTCACCGGATGATTTTGCCTGATGCACTGTACATAATAACTCAAGCATGCTATCAGTTCAATTGTACAACCACCTCACTGAACACAGTCATACTTGATCACACTTCAGTCTTGAAGATATGCAAAATTGTAAGGTTTTGCAGTTAATATCCAAGTTCACTCACTGCCTATTTCACACTGGAATTGAACTGACTCGTATTATCCGGCCACATTATGTACTAATAAATATAATCAGACTACATATACATTTCAACCGATCACCATAAATCAATGTCAATTATAACAAGTGTTAGACAGACAAAATGTGACACTTCACACTTGATGTTGTCAAAGTGTCATATAAATACGGTCTAAGAACAATATATATATTGGCTTCAATTCAGTCCCAAACAGGATTTTGACAGCTGCAATAAGCTTTTGACCTAGCAAAAATCTCATCTATTATTCATTTGCGAAAGCATAAAATACAGTGTATTGCTAAGAATTCCTTCAAAATAAACATGTGCTCTGTTTCTGCACGAGCTGTATTACCTGTCCTTCTCCAACTGTCTCTGTGTCAATAATAGTGATGATTCCCGGCACCAGAGGACTTCGACGAATGTTGCTATGAGCTAAAATTTCTTCTTCAGTTGCTCCTGAAGGCAGCGTCCCTGTCAGCTGGGTAACTACTTTCCCAACCATTGTAAGTCCAGTCTTTATCGTCTATAAAAAGAAAGAGAACCAATAAATAACTTTTAGGGCTCTTTTACAGATCTATCTGGAATTTTTTCTTGACACAATTAATACTGTAAATAGGCTGCACACACACAATAGAAGCACACTAAAGAAATATGTTTTATAAGTGATATATTAACTGTGAGAGATGCTGTATGTAACAGTAATCTTTTCAAAAAGATTTAGCATCCTATCAACTTGATATATTTGACAAATATATTTTGACTAGGAACTTCCAACTTCAAGAAATACTCATTTTAATGTTGCCTATGTGTTATGGCATTTTTCTTTTTTCACCTTCTTTATATGCTTATCCCACAAGATACAGAGCATAGACAGTCAGAAGGATCAAATGATGAAGCAAAAAGGGGGAGGTGAAGGGGGAGCATTACACACAGAAACACCTTCAAGCAGCAGTGTTTACTGCTGAGGTTATTACAGCTGTCCTCGGCCGAGGAATCCGGACTCCACGGATATGACGGAGACCTTCCTTTGGTTCTCAGGAAGTTGCCCTTGGCAGCACTCAGACTGAAGCTGGGGCTCCAACCCAACAGAATTCAAGTGCTGCAAAGGGCAATTTGGTGCAAAGTCCACCCAAACCGCAAGACAAATAATGCAACTTGCCATAGTCCACCCGTTTCTCAAACTTTGGTTTGAAAATATATTCATTGCATTGTTTCTTACTTTGCAAAGATGCTGAAGATTGTTTTTACATTATTTTATTTGGGGAAAGCAGGAAAGAACATGCATTAAGGCACAAGTTAAAAAGATCCCAGACTACAACTTGAAATATTTTCTCCTTGAATCAAGGTCTGCACCTCACTTGTCTGCTAAGAATTATGAAAATTATTATGCAGTATAAATAAGAAATAACAAAAGAGATCAGAATAGAATGAGACCATAACAAGCCAATTCTTAACTAAAAAGACAAGCTAAGCTGCCTGCTAAATTGAAAAGGAAAAAAAAGTACGGATCACAGACTGAAACCAAGAAGCAGCCACAAATCAATTGCAACTGCTTTGTTTAGTGCTAAAATCTCAAACTGCAGTGATTAGAAAACACATTAGTGTTCATCAATTAGCAGCCAAACGTTTGTTTTAATAATTCATAGGAAATGACTTACACAAAGTCTGTTAGTGTGTTGTCAGGAAAACCTCTGAAGGGCCAACAGAATTAGGCGCCACACTGTATTGATGGCAATATCCAGCCAGGAAGCCTGATTAACCTCTGAGATGCCTCAGCTGATGTACTTACCCCATTAATGCTAATGGAGATACTACCACTTAAAATCGAGCCACGTCTTTATCATAGGAATGTCTTTGGGGTTTAAAGTCTTTAGTAATATCCTGCCATCCGTTTCTTATTATTTCTTATATTACTCAGATACAACAAATGAAAGCAAGCCAGTTTTAACAGTGACACTCAAGACGTAAGAACATTACACAAAATAGAAAACGTTAGTCAAAGAACAGACATAAAAGTCTGTGCCATCAGAGGAGTGCATTTTAGCAGACACTTCCTTTACAGAGGCTGAACAACAGTTCTCCGAGCAATGTAAGGCTATAGCAAAATACACCAATAGTTTATACAGTAAAAAGATAAAGCAGCATTGAGGTACTATGTGGCAAAATACCCACACACGTTAAAAAAACAAGAATCATAATCAACCTATTTTAGAAAATATCATCGACATTTTAACGAGAGAAACTGGATTAAAAATGTTAAGCATGGATTGGAAGCCTCTTTCGAAAAAATAGCATTTTTATCTAATGAATTGAGTAACTGTTATATGCACAGCGGACTGTGACTGTAGGTCTGCTGAGAATTAATAGGTGTATGAAGATCTGACCAAGGCCATTAGCACAGAAATATCAGTGAAAAACCATTATGGCACTTACTTCTTTGTGCTATGTGTATATTTGCAAAAACTTCCCTGGTAATCTTTAACCTTTCCCATGCCATATCAGCTGTCCCTTCTATCCATTAGAGCTAATGACCTTGCTCTCACATAAGCTGTTAGTACTCATTAAGAAGTTATCAAGTAACAAGAGAAAACAGATGCAGCCTTTGCTAAATCACTTTACCACTAGAGGATTAAAAGATACGGAGAAAGAATCATCGAGAAGTTATTAGGTGAGAAGAACTTGGTTTATAATTTGCTGCTAAACATTTGACAGACCAAATACATTTTAATTTGAAATAAGTTAAAATTTGCACTGTCCCGATTTCTTTGTCATAGATGACAACTGCTAGTGCATTGTAAGCAAAATTCAAATACTTAATCCAATTCCTTTTGTAAGCAGTGATGCACAATGTGCAAACACACAAACTCTTTGTATGCTCATATATAACCTATTTGCTTAAAAATAAAGCTGTTCACATTCATTCAAATACAAAGAAACACATATATTTAATTAAAATAAATGTATACACTCACCCCCACTTAATTGAAAAAGTACATCTTTAATTAGTTCAGAAAATTAAAAACCATCATTCAGGGACTGTTAGACTTTTGTTCCAACAAGGTCTCACATTATTTTATGACAAAACAATATATTGTTCCCATTTCTCATAATAAATATATTTCACATGATTTATTTGTTTACAAATGAAAAAAATCTGTGGAGAGGAGAAAAAGATGTACCAAAAAGATAGGCATCTATTTAAACGTGAATGTCTTGGTAATCAACAAAAAAGCCTTTATTCTGAGCACCAAGACTGCGTAAACAATTCCAGCTTCCAACTCAAACTCGCTCTGCAATGCTGATATTTTACCAAGTTGTTGCACTGCCTTTCCCAGTCTAACCACACGCTCTGACAGGAGGGAGCTGCGATGGGGAAGGAGGAGAATCAGCAAACTCCTGGTTAGCAGCAGGACGCCCGGCTGCTGGGGACACATCACGCGGGACCCGCTGCGGGAGGGCCGCGCACGTGGAGGATCGGGTGACGCGATGGCCAGGGACACAGCAGGAGCAGACCCCTCTTCCACGGGACATACCGTGACCCGCATGGGGTCCCGAGCGCTTCTGTGCTCGTGTCTGCTGCTTTGCCACATTCCCAACGACAGATAATCGAACCTGGGGATTCCTGCTCGCACAGGGGCCACAGCACTGAATACAGAAATACCAAACACTGCTGAAATGCAGCACTTGCCTTCTGTCCTTGCTATCAACTCCAAACTCTATCCCTCGACCATTAATAGGCAACCAACACTAATCTTGGAGGCATAGAAAAAACACATGTAAGGTTTGCTCACAGGATTATGCAATTTCCTACCTTCCACTGCTAGTTCAGCTCTGTATAAAATCTAACAAGTACTTCTTTCCTATTATTATTATAAAAACATTTTATCTTCGGTAGTTATTTAAAGATGCAACATCACTGCTTCCACATTTGCAAACGGTTTCATATGGGAATTTCTGAGTTACGATCCTTATGAGACAAAGTCATCGTTTTGGTGCTCACTGGCCTTAAAACATGGTAATCCATGGTCTTCGGGTGCTAGGGGCTGTAACAGATGCTCTCTTTTTCAGAATTTTCACCAATGAAAGCTCTAAACAGAAACACTGCTCGTCTCCACTAGTCTTCAGAGCCTATTAGAATATTCTGACAATCACTATAAGGAATAATAAAGCTTTGGCTTGCTCTTCAGTCATGACTTGGCTAGACTTTGGCAGTACAGTGATCCATTTGCAAAAAAATTACCACATCTGATCCTAACCGTGGCTGTTCATGCCAATTGTTTCTTTCAAAGCAATCTGCACCATAAAAAGCATGTTAATAATGCAGAGATTGAAAGGGTTTGGGGAGATCTTCCCTCCTTTTTTTCCTTCGGCTGATGGTGAAAGAATACAAAGAGATAGCAGCAAGTTTTACACGGACTCTTCAGAAGACCAGCAATTCAAATTCCCCTCAGCAAAGTAAAAAAAAAAAAAAAAAAAAAAAAAAAAAAAAAAAAATTTTTTTTTCCCCTTCCCCCACACA